TTTTTAGACCGAGTCTTTCGCCAACATGGCTTGCCTGAGGCAATTGTCTCGGATCGAGATCCGCGCTTCACCGCGAAGTTCTGGACGTCCCTCTTCAGAGTGCTCGGCACTCGTTTGGACATGTCCACGGCGGACCATCCGCAGACCGATGGTCAAACCGAACGCGTGAATCGCGTTGTGGAGGATACCCTCCGAAGCGTATGCGCTGAGGCGCCAAAACGCTGGAGCCAGATGCTCCCACTCGTTGAGTTCGCATTAAATAATGCAGTGCACGCCTCGACAGGCTACACTCCGTTCTATGTGAACGGCTTGGTTAACCCTCGCGTCCCACTGACGCCGCCACGCAGTGGCTCAGGGCTTGGTGGGGGAGGGATAGCCGAGCGGCTAGCTGATGTCAGCCCTGTTGCGGTTCGCAAGCAAGTCGATGACTTTGTCTCTTTGAGACTGAGCGTAATGCGTCAAGTACGCGACGCTATGGCTGAAAGCCAAGACACGCAAAAGGAACATGCAGATGCCAAGGGCAGAAGCAATGTTGAGAGGTTTGAGGTCGGTGACCAAGTTTTATTAAACGCTAAAAACCTAGCTACTCATGCAGTGTCTGCAGTCTTCAAGACGAAGTTAAGACCTCGGTTCATAGGACCGTTCAAGGTCGTGGCCAGGAAGGGCCTAGCGTATACGCTCAACCTTCCGAAGAAGATGCGCACGCATCCGGTCTTCTATGTCGGCTTGCTTAAGCCATACCAAGACCCTGCTCAGGTGAGCGCGGAGGCGTTGGCACCAACGGTGGCTGGGCCACGAACAGCTGCAGGGCAGCAGGTGGTAGAGCCACGGGATGCTGAACGACAGCAAGTGGTGGATCCACAGATGGCTGATCAACAGCATGTGGCAGAGCAACAGATCGCGGAGCGAAGTGCTCGAGATGCGGGAGGAGGGCAAGCTCTGCATCTCCTGGGCCACGCCCATGATGCCTCGACTCGCAGTCGACCGCGACCCTCGGGTCACGCAGCGGTAGGTCATTGACCAGATTCGTACCACTCAGTGGATTATGCGCCACTCCGCGCTCGTCCTCACCAGGACCCAGCAGTTGGTCATCGACCTGACCTGCACCGCTCAGCGGATAACGTGCCGCACCACGTACGCCCGCAGGGCAAACAGCAACATCGTTGCTAACAATTTCGGACATACCAATGTCCAGCACTACGGCCGCCTCGGCCTCGTGCTTGCACCAAAAGCGCTTCTGCTTCCTAGCAGAGGTGGGTTCATGACTCACCAAAGCTCCACTAGGAGCAGGGTGCGACGCACCCAGCGTTTTCGACTTCCAGTCGATCCATGGCTCATGGCGTTCCAGCCATGCCATGCCAAGGATGAGGTCATACCTCGCATCCAAGTCTAAGACCAAACAGCGTTCCACGCTATCGAAGTTCTCAAACTTCACTCCAAGGTCGACAGAGACCTTCGACACAGTTACCAGTGTCCCCGTCGCGAGACGGACAGAGATCGTATCTCTCGTTGGCACTTCCAGTGCCTCAGCATACAGCTGACTCCCTTCTAGGGTGGAGCGACGGGCGTAGCTGCCCGAGGCTCCCGAGTCAATCAAGACTCTCCATGGCTTTGCAAAGCCCTTCACGTTTGCTTGAGCGACCAGCAAGCCCGGCTTGCACACACTCTTTTCGTAAGAGAGCTCAGTTCTCTTCGGGGCTGAGCCCCGTTGCCCTCTACCTCCTCGAGGCACAACAGAACTCAGTTCTTCCTCAGTAGGCCGTCCCGCGCCTACTGGGAATTGCCGTTTCCTGGCGATGACCCGGAGGGTTGGCTCGCCGGAGCCACGCGCTTCTTGCGCAGAGGGCAATATGCCCTCAAGTGCTTGGTGCTATTGCACACAAAGCATAGGCGGATGCCGACACGCTGCTCCGCAGCAAGAAGCTTCGCTTCTTCATCTTCAGCATAGCTGAGATCCATTGGCTCTGGACCGCTCGAAGAGCTTGCGCTACCAGCGCTCCAACCAGGTCGCGCCGATCTGAAGTTGTGCTCGGCATTCAATGCCACATCCACCGCCTCTTCGAAAGAGTTAGGGTGTACACGGAACACTTCCGTTCGAGCTGCGCTCACACGAAGTCCCTCCATGAACACGGCCACGCTGACCAGCTCAGGAAGAGGGTTCGCCGCTATTCCGGCGATAAGAGGTCTCAACTCTTGGACATAGTCCAATAAATCCTTTTTACCCTGGCGGGTAGCAAGGAACTTCGACCGGATACGGTACGCCTGATTGGGCGGCGCGAACACGCGCGAAAGCTGTTGCTTCAGCTGATCCCAAGTGAGAAATGCAGCGTCAACAGACGTGCCGCACGTTAGTGCCCATTCGCGAGCGCGACCTCCAAGTCTGGAGATAGCCAGCGCCACGCGCTGATGCTCAGACTGGAGCAGGGCCGATCCCATGGCCATCTCGACCTCCCGGGTCCAGAGAAGGAGATTCTCTCCATCCTTCCCCTCGAAGGTTTTTACGCTCACCATGAGCGGTTTCAGTCTCATAGACTCTTCACGCGTCATCGACGCTGCCGCCGTTGCGGACCTCATCTTCTCTTGGACATGCTCCAAGAGCGCGTTCTCGTAGCGGGAGAACGATTACAGCCTGGCGGTGACCGCCTCAGGACCTTGCGATGCAAGATGAGCCACGCCCTCCGGGCCAAGCAAGGACATAAGCTTAGTAAGCGCGTCCTGCTGCGCCGGGGGCAAATTCGCGAACACGGGGTGTTCCATCCTCGCAGAGGATATAGTCAACCGACTCGGGAGCGGGATTGACTACAAGTGCTACCAAGTGCAGCGGGGCTGCCGTAGCTTTAGCGTCAGAGGAAGACGTTCGACTCAAAGAGTCACTAAGTTCCTTTTCCAAAGGACACTTACAGCCTAAGACCAGGGCTCAAAGTTAATACCTTAACGTTTATGCTTCAAAACCAGAAGTGTTTTATTTACTATTATTGCGGCCAAGCCGCCTAGGGGTTAATGTATCTCTTTAACTATCTAGCATAGCTAAACCTAATCAAATGCATAACGTGTGGCTTTCAGCCAACGTACTGAGAGACCTTGTAAACTCTCCAACTTATGTACTGAGAGTTTGTTAACTCTCCGGGTACTTCGTACCCCTGTGTGTTCCACACCATGGGTCCCCGTTACTAGTACGACGTCCGCGGCTGGTGCAGAGGGGATGACGTGCATGAAAAATTTCCTGGCAGTCTGGTTGCTTCTTCTCGGTAGCTCTGCGCTACTTGGTCGTCCGGTGCTCTGAGCTCTGGGCGGCAAATCGGTGAATGGTCTGGATTCGCCGTTCGCTGCGGTTTGGAAAATCCGGTTACGTTCTCCGTACGTAACGGAACATTTTTCCTTGCACGCAAATCGTTACAATCGTAATCGGATTTGCTTCTGTTCAGTTGCGTACAGTCGTGCACCTCCAATTCGACACCGGTATCAGTCGATACCCTGCCAGATTTTATGAATACGCGAATCGGATGCGCAATTACCTTTGCCCATCACCACCCTAGCAATTAACCTCAACGGTTTTCCCCTCCTCGCCGAGGGATGACACGCCGCATCGATCTGATTTTAAATTTTGGATCCGACGTCTTCATACCAACACACACTTTGATTTTTACCGCCAAAGACAATGGGACATCGCCCTTCCTCCTACATGTCCCACAAAAGCAGTCTTGCGAGAAGCACAAGTCAGATCCTGCATGCTCTCACTCCGAACTTGCTCGTTACCGTCCAGAGTATTCTTAAGCGGTCCGCGGAAGCTGCCGCCTTGCCGGACGCCTATCGCGATCGGAAGCGCTGTTGCGCGCCCGCGATTCGCGCGTCTGACGCCAAGATTATGCAGAAGATTGGCGTAAATTTTGTACTGAATTAACAAATAAAATATCAGTGCACTGGATTTGCGTTTGTTTTTAGCTTTACGTTGGGGCATCTGGAAAGAGTTTTAAAATAGTCGTGTAGCGCAAAAACGACTGCAAATTAGCTAATTCTGACCACATTTTTGAAATCTACACCCGAGTTTACCCCTCTTATCTAACTGCTACTAAATGATTTGGGTTGTTGAATTCTAATGACAGATGGCTACACTCTGGTCAATAAACTTTAACCTTTAAGGTAAAGGTCACCTTTGACTACAGATGGTGAAGCTTTTCTGTTGTATCGTTGGTGTCGCGGGAAGCGCGTTCTCCGTGGAAGTAAACGAAGGCAAAACCGTAGATGACTTGAAGGAAGCAATCAAGGCGAAGAAGACCAACGACTTCAAAGAGGTTGATGCAGACAAGCTACAGCTCTTCCTGGCGAAGAAGGGTGACGCGTGGCTGCGGGACAACGAAGACCTGGACACGTTGCTTCAGAGCGAAATCGCCTTTTCATCGTATTTGCACATGCGTGCGTCGTGGAAGCTAAGCAAGCCGACCCTTTTCGGGCCTGACGTTTCGTTAGGAGAGGGCGTAGTTCACGTGCTGGTGGTGGTTCCGGTGGGTGCTGGAGTTGGCGTAGGACAAGACGTCAGCATGGATGTTCCGGCTGCTGTACCGATGGGTCCCAACGTGAATCTGTCTTCGTGTGAAGATCTCCTCGCCTTTTTGGAAAACGACATGATTAACAAGGAAGCCATCGTGTCACGTCCTCATATTTTAGGAGCCGACAAGCTACAGTTTCGCTTGGTTGGAAGGGAAAAGGCGCTTATGAAGACAGCGAAGTGCTTCCTCAATATCATCGCGCGTAGTGGCACTGCAAGCACAGATCGCACGGAGCAGGTTGTGCCTGTTTGCTCTGGCATTTCTGGTTTGGGAAAAACGCGTATGCTCGAAGAAGGTGGCACAATTTTGCACGCGATGGGGCTGGATCCTGATCACGTTGTCCGTGTGATTGTTCCATACTACAACGGCTTTAGTCCCCAACCGGTCGAGGAAACGATGCCGATCGCGGCATCATTTTCGTGGCGGCTCTTGTATCGATTTTTCCTCGACAATAATTGTGCGCTTGCATTTGAAGAGTGGTTTAACTCGCGACTACCTCGAAATGGAGGTCGGTTGACATTGAGTAATGCCATCAAAGTCATCGATCGCAAGCTGCGTCGGCCAGTGCATGGCAAAGAGAAGCTGTACCTCTTTGTTGGCGTCGATGAATATCAGAAGATTGAAAAAGTAAATGCTCCTCGAAGTGACCCCGACTCGTCACTCCTCCGTGAACTAGTGCAAGCCATAGTTCTATACTTGTGCACGAAGTCGTCGAATCTGGTTGTGCTACCGATGTTTGCAGGGACAGATTTGGATGTGATTGCATCGGGTTCAATTGCGAATTCCTCGTTTTATGTGACGGAGCGGCTTCCCATGACTCTCTTGACCTTGGATCAAGTTTTCACCTTTGTGGAGAATGGTACAGATTTTGCTGGGCTCCTGCGACAGTCTCATATTCGTCGCTATTTGTTTATGCTTGGAGGTGTGCCACGATGGGTTGTCGAATACCTGTTGAAACTGAGGAGCTGCTCGCAAGGAGATGTCGTGTCATTAGAAAATATCAACAAATGTTTTTTTAAAGTCTGGACAAGTTTCGTGTATCCCTACTTGAGCTCACCCTTAGTAGATCTTTCAACGCTCGTTCGCTTGGCGGCCTTTGCTGTATCGGGCCTTACGGTTAACCCAATCAACACGATTGATGGCCGCTTGAAATGGTCAAGACTTCGAGATTCTTCGCTATGTTTGCTCAGTCCGCGCGAATCCACAACGTGTGATGTTCGAGTTCCGTATACGTTGTTGATTAATATTGGATCCACAAAGACACTGGCAACCAGAGCAGAACGGGACTTTGCGACGGCGTTGAACGACATGAGTGAAATGGTGGACTCAACAATGTTCGCCCTTCAACCGTGGCAGTCGTGGGAGATATTCGGTGCCTGTTTTTATGCAGTGAGAATCAATGCGTTGCTGGTGCTTGGACACTCGACCGCGACGCTGGGAGATCTTCTACCTGGCGCACGGATGTCCGATGAAACACGTCGCATTTCTGTGAAACTTGTTCCGTCAAGAGTGGTTCAGTGTGCGGAAGCCTTTGGTTCCTTAACCCCTCAACTCATTTCAAACAAATTCAATCAACAAGAAAAGTATAATTGGACGTCGAGTGGTTGCATTGCAGTGAACGGCGATGGCGAAGCGGGCGTCGACATTTTTTTTGCGCTGAATGATGCTGTGACTGACAACGTGGTGGTCTTTGTAGACCAGAGAAAGCGACAGTTCGGTAAATTTCAGCCATGTCACGCAAAGGAATATCTTGGCAAGCTGAGTGTTTGTCCAAAGTTTCTTGTGGCACGTGGTGCGCGTGTGGTGAGAGGGGTTTTGAATTGCGATTCCTTGTCGAATCTTGCGACGTATGATGTGCCGCATGACTGTTTCCTCTTGAGCCCAGACGAGAGTGAGCGGTTTTATGGAACACTGGCGTATCATCCAGCGTGTACGCCGTTCATCTCGGTCAACTCAGCGTGCAAAACAGCTCTCAAATCATTACTCCGAGGCACTTTGAAAGCTGTTGATGAAGCTGCCGAAGCCATCTTGACGAAGAGAAATGAACCCAGTGGAGGTTTCAGTAATTCCGAGGATGTGCGTTCTTTTATCAGATTTAAGCGGTTGAAAGTCGACTTTGATGACGAGTATGCGGAGTTTTCATCGTTAGTGACAAGAAAGCGAGGTGGTGACAGACTAAAGTCATGCTCCATCTGACAATACTACTAGTACCGTTGTAAGTCTGATTGAGCCTGCCTCAATTATTTCACTGCAATGTATTAGTCGGAAGGCTAATTCATGCAGTGAAAATAAAGTGGCAATATTTGAAGTTTTTTTTTTAATTTCTTAGCTTGTGATGAAAACTTACAAAATATATTTCTAGCATCGTCATAAATTATTTAAAGCCCCTGCTTCACAAAAATACTCAATCCTAGCTAAGCAAAACTGAGAGCCAACCACTGCTTGGTTGGTTGGCAAGTCCTTGGGATTGCATCCAGCTCACTCTTTCTCATTACCAATTCACCATGCCTTTGACAGCACCTTCAGCAACCAGCAGTGTATCTTGGAAATAGTGATGTGATGTTGCTCTTATCAAAACAATAACGTATTTGCCAATGTCAAATGTTTCCCTGCAAGTTCTGATTTCACAAATAAGCATGCAGATGTATTATCGCAAGGCCTGGATTGTCGGGTTTCGACAGCAGAGAGCCAATCACGACTAGATTGATGCTTGACGTGCGTAGTTGACGGGCTGGAGAAGGTGACAGCATTAATTGTTTTGACACAACACGCAGCGGTATTTCATGATGGTTTCCCCTTTTTCTCTCCACTAATTAACATTTTTAAAGAATGAGTGCGCTTCGTACCTCGTCTAATGACAAGTAAAGTAAGACCTCGGACAAAACACGTACAGATCAATGCACCAATGGTTCCATTCTTGAGTTGAGCGAGCAGTACATCAGCGATTTCAGCAAACGATTCTAGCAATAAACAAATGGATGCAGATTGAAATGAGAAATCGATGTTTTCAGGCCGAACTTGCCAAGGCGGGCTGAGCATAGCCTGCACTCATTCACGGCATCGCAGCTTCAGGCCTGGAAAGCGAGACATGGTCCCAGATCTTGTGAAGAGTGGTGTTGTTCTCGGCCCTCGCGCTCGGCAACATCGCCAATGGCGTCCACAAAAATGAGTGTTGGGATCGTCTTCACGTCATAGCGTGCACAGGTTCTGCACTACCTCACGCCGGAAACGGACTAGTCGTGAAGTAGAGTCCCACCACTGTCTTGTTCGCCAGCGCTTCCTGGGTAGACGTCTCACCGCGCCGCGAAACAAGTGTGCTACCCAAAAGTTTCTCTTGGAGCGTCATTTGCGAGTTTTACTTCTTCTTTGGAGGATTTGAGGGCGTTATTCTCCTACATGTATTGCACTTTGACTTCACATTTTGTAAGTTTGAGATGGGCAACTTGACGTAACATGCCGACGAAAATCGACGTCCTTTAGTTAAAATCCGACGAGGCCCAACCTAGCCCTTACCATTTGGATTGGCCAAATCATTTTGTCAAGACCGAGCGATTGGCTGTCTAATAAATAAAAATGGATGATTGGTGATTAAAACCAATATTAAAAAATTAAGTTGGGTCGGAGAATTGATGATATTCATCCATATTATGGAAGTTCCATTAAGCATTCTTTTAATTCAGTTGGCTCCGACATATCGGGTCGGAGGTGACCAGGGGTTAATGGTAACTCCAAAATCGGTGAAGTTAATATTGTGAAAATATCACCTGTAGACCAGTAAATATAAAAAATATCACCTAATATTTTCTTCTGAGACAATATGATATTATTAAATATCAACTTAATATTAGTTAGTACTATATAATTTTTTCAAAGATTGCGTAATCGGGATAAATTCACTAATCAGATGTCGTTAACGCTCGACTAGCTGAAGTATTGCTAATCAACCCTGAGGGAGGGACAATTGTGAGAGTGACGGCAAGGTTGGCGTCGTGTGTTGGCACTGCTGAGCGCATTAATCTAGCGCCAGTTTATTAGACGCACGATGTGGACGAGGAGATCGGTAGAGAACAAGAACAAATGTCTTGATTTCGCTCTATCAACGTTAAACAGCTGCAACCGTTTGCAGTTTTCCATCTCGATCGCCTTTGTCGGTGTCACAGTGAAATACCAGAGCAAATACTCGTCATTCTTAAAGCCTACTGCTTTTTTAGAACCTGATCGAAAAAGTTATTTGGCTCCGCTCGGTTTACAGAGGGTAAGGTGGCAAGAAACGTACTTAAGTTGGAAAATATCATAAAATATCATGTAGTATCTAATATTTTTCAGTTCTCCGAGTTATTATTAAAATATTATGTTAACTTTTGCAAAAATGAGTTAATATTAATATTTATTATCAAAAATAGTACTATTACTATCAAACATATCATAGGATATTTGGTTACCATTGGCCCCTGGAGGTGACACGCGGATATGCTAATACAATTTTCAAGATGTTGACATATCACATGCATAAAGTGATTTCTCCGACTTCTCCGACCGGTGTAATCATTTCAGTACACTAGACTCAATTTTCGCAGTCTACAATTTGCTTACTGTTATACAAAATCTCGAGCACTAAAGATGTCGACAACTGGCAGGCGGTGCAGCTCTAGCGAACTCGCTTCGTCGTTACAATACATGCAACAGCCTGAGGGAGGAGACGTATTAAGAGTAATTACTGCTGTAGTATTATAAACAAGTAGTAGTATACTAAATGAACAGAGCAGTAGATAGCATTCATCAATCCCACGCGTTATTTATTTATTTACTTAAGCACTTAAACTCAATAGCAACACGGCGCCAACATTCTTCTGTCTCTCAGCATGCGTACCTTTCTACTACTGCTCATGGCTACGTCCACCTTGGCACCGGTTCGAACGTGTATCTCCGTCTTACGCGGAGCTTCCAGCTGGAGCAGTGCCACGCTGATCCACAACTCAGCCTTCCTGACCTCGGGAGTCGCATCCTCCACCTCCATGATCTCCATCTTGGCCTCTTCCGCCTAAATGTAGTGCATGCAGCACCTGTACCAGATGACACAGCGGCAAAAGCAAGTCACAAGTCACAAGTCACCGCGTCACAAGTCACACCTCTCACCCCGTCCCAACAGCGACATCCATCCCAGCCGCCCCTGCAGCGCAAATCCCAGTCTCCAATCGACAGCGGCGGGAAGGAACGTGAGCCTCGAGTTGGTCTGTTGCTAGCGCGCGTGCTCTCGGCCCACACGGCCAAGCAACAGCCGAGCAACAAGACAGCAGAGGCCGAGAGGCACGCGCCGAAAAGACAACAATGGACAGAGGCACGTGCTGGAAGGGAAGAGGCAGCGACTCAAGGGCATCGAGTTTGGCGAGAGGTGTTGTAGTGATAGCGATGCAAATGGACTGACCGACTAACTCTGAATGACACTTCACAATTTACCTTTTTGAGCTCACTTGCCATAAAGTATGCTTTGGCTTTTCAAGAACTGACGATGGCGTTCAACAGGGAGGTTGACCAAGATGGAGACCTCGAGATGCGGTCTACACAGCCGGTCTTTGAGTACATCAAGCCTCCGCGATTGACAGACCTGGGACAACCAGCACTGGTCAAATTTATGCGCAATCGTCGACAGTATGAAGAGAGGGTCTGGGAGCGATGCCTAGCGACGGGTGAAGTGCACGAGAACGTGCTCGTTAGTATCAAGAACTCCATGGAACCAAGGATCCTCGAACACCTGGCGCACTACGAATTCGTACAACCGTGGAGGAAGTGACGGACAAGTGTCTACAGGAGGACATCAAGCGCCGTGCGGGCACTCGGATGAATGATCATGTCCCTGATGTGACCAAGCTTTTCGGTGATAACCTGAAAATGGACATGAAGGTGTCGGATATCCATGCACGCATTGCACAATATTTCATGGATTTTGACCGGCTAGTGGATGGACATGGACTAGGGACATGGGTTGGTCGGGGACCAGCGACAGATGCTGCAGGCCGTGAACGCATGAAGGCTCGCTGCAAGTTACTGGTCTCGAACTTGTTCCCGACGGTGTTGCGGGTGGATATCGAGCGCCTCATTGCCGTGACGCACCAGCACGCTAAGCAAGATGATGTGGCGTTGTACGAGCTGATCGTCGTCCGAGCCAAGAGCCAGCAACATTTCCACACCATGCAAACCGAGTTGAAGCGTGATGATGCCCCAAGGGGCAAATCTACTGGAGGTAAGACTGGAGGAGCGAAGTAGCCCAGTAGGGCTGTTGGTAAGGCCGTACGTACGAAAGTGGAATCGAAGGCACCTCCCAACCCGCCTCGAACGGGATGTTTGATCTGCAAGGGGCCCCATTGGGCAAAGGACTGCCCGACTGGTACTGACGAACAGAAGCAAGATATCCAGCGCGAGGTGCAGGCTCGTAAGGCGCTAAGAGATGAACGCGTCAAGGCTGTACGGGTAGTACGGGCTGGAGAAGGCCGGCGTGCGTGCATTAACGGAGTTTTGGATGTGCCGTTCTGTCCCGATACTGGAGCGGACAGCAACATCATTTCGAGAGCCCTGGTCGACGAGCTTCAGGGTGTCGGAAGCACGCTAAAGCTGCAGGCATTGAAGCCTGTAGTGCAGGTGCAAGTAGCTGGTGGCGCTCGCGTGAGTTGTCGCGATGCTGTCATTTTGGATCTGCGTATCGAAACAGCAGCCGGACCTTTGCACCTCGCTGATGTACCGTGTCTTGTCATGGAGGGCCATGAAGACGAGTTTTTACTGGGACGCAAAACTATGCAAGACATTGGCATCGACATCGACAGGCTATTTGACCAACTTGCAAGTGGTCATGTCGGTGACGCAGATGAAGACGATGTTACCAGCGATAGCCCTCAAGTGGCTTTCTCGGTGGATGGTGATGAAGTCTATGGCTACTTGAACATAATGGTTGATGTTGCCGGAGCTGCTGGTTTTGCGACAGAGTTGTTGGAGGACCTACGCAAGCTGGTGTTTGAGTATGCCGATGTATGGCGTATTCGTATTGGGGCTGATCCACCTGCAGACGTAGAGCCATTGAAAGTGAGGCTCCGAGAGGGGGCTCAGCCGTATCGCAGCGGGACAAGGAAGTATCCACCGGCGCAGCGAAAGTTCCTACGGGAGTTTGTGTCAGAATTGGAGCGTCATGGATTGGTTCGGCGTAACAACACCAGTCGGTGGGCGTGCCCAGCATTGCCGGTATAGAAGCCACAAACCGATAAAATTTCGCTGCACTGTAGACTATCGACCGACAAACAAATGCACCGTGCCGTTAGACGGAGCAACGCCGAATCTAACCTCAGCGACACAGAGTGTGATGGGGGCGTACGGGTTCGGCCTCTTTGATCTCTTTAAAAGCTTCTGGCAACTCCCACTTCACCGTGACAGCCAAGAACTTTTCAGTTTTGTTACTGAAGATGGGGTGTTCACACCGATGCGGGTACCGCAAGGTGCAAGCGATTCCGCAATGCATTTCCAGCTGCAAATGCAGCTCTGCTTTCAAGCGATGATGTATCGCAGCATTCTCGTATGGATTGATGATCTGCTATTATTCGCTCGTGGTGCCGAGGAATATCTAACTTACCTGCGATCTTTCTTTAAGGTGGTTCACGAAAGGCGGCTGAAGCTGAACGCCAAGAAATGTGTGTTGTTCGACACCAAGGTGGTATGGTGTGGCAAGGTGATTGACGGTACAGGCGCCAAGCACTCACCCGATCGCCTCGCACCACTGACGAGCATGGCGCTACCGCCGACTGCTGCAGCGCTCCAGCAGTTCCGATGTGCAGCGAATTGGCTGCGGGAATCAATGGTGGACTATGCCCGAGTTGTTGATCCGCTTCAATCGAAGCTAGAAGCAGTGATGGCTCAACGGGGTCGGCGCAAGGCGCAGCTAACTGGTGTCGAACTCACCTGGCCAGCGGATGATAAGGCAGCTTTTCGTGCGGTGATCGGTTTGTTGACGACTTCGGCCAAGTTGTTTTTCCCGGACCCAGATGCAGTTGTGTGCATGTTCAGCGATGCTTCCCTGGGCGGTTGGGCCGTCGTCGTTAGCCAGGTCCGCAATTGGATCGCAGGGCTACCGGTGACGGAGCAAGCACACGAACTACTCGTTTGCTGGGGTGGGCTTTTTACTGGGGCTCAAGGTAATTGGTTTATCGTGGAGAAGGAAGCATACCCTGTTGTTCAGGCCTGTGGTGATCTCGCTTATCTTCTTGAGCGTGAGAAAGGTGTGCAGATTTATTGCGACCATCCAAACTTGATTCACATCTTTTCCCCCGATAAGACGGTCAAGCCACATCTTCGCGGCAAGCTGCAGCGGTGGGCACTCCACATTGTGGGAGTCCGCTTCACCATCGAACATATCAAAGGCGAAGATAATGTTTGGGCCGACTGATATCGAGATGGGGCCAAGCTAGTGCAGTGCAGTTCCAGGGCACCTACCGCATGCTGTTAAACGTGTGGTGGCCTGCGTGGTTAAGAAGAACGAGGAGGACTATGCTAATGCAACCGCGGATGACGTCACTGATGGCGAGACCAGGGAGACGGTTAAGGACAAGCCGTGTATGATTAATCCCTTCGATCTCTCAGCTGCTTACTGGCATGTCCCTATGCAAGCCGGTGCTGTTGGTTTGGCCAAGAGAGTGACAACTAGACGCACACAGCCGATTTCGCTGCTGCGGCCGTTGCAGGACGGTAGATTGGTGTGGCCATCCGAAGGTGCAATTCGGGATCAACAGCGACGCCACCGTTCCAGTGCACCGGCGGCTGCAGATGAAGACGGTCTCATTCGAGTCGACGAAAACCTCTGGGTCCCCAAGCAGGCCCGCGAGCTGTTACAACGTTTGTTGGTTGTGGCTCACTGTGGACCTCAGGGCCACAGGGGTAGCGACGTTATGCAAGCCGCGCTTGCCGAACGCTTTGAAATTGCTAATGCAAGGGCGCTGATTGACCGTTTCCTGAGAGAGTGTCTGTTGTGCAAGCATGTGAAAGGCGGGAAACTTCTGATGCGCCCTTGGGGGCCTACATCTACAGCAAGTAAGCGCAACGAGTGTCTTCACATGGACTATCTACAACTAGGCGAATCCTACGGCGCAAGCCGATACGTACTCGTGCTCAAGGATGAGCTTACGCACTATTGCGAGTTGATCGCTGCTGATGCGGCGAACAGTGCCACAGCAGTCTAGGCTGTGTTGGACTGGTACAAGCGATTCGGGTTACCTGAGGCCTGGGTATCTGATAATGGATCGCACTTCAAGGCGTCAGTGATGGAAGAGCTTGCAGGTCGTTTGAAGGCCATACAGAAGTTTGTTCCGGTCTACACGCCGTGGATCAACGGTACCGTTGAGCGTGTAAACCGCGACATTCTTCAGGTTTTACGCGTCATGCTTCTGGAGCTACATCTAGACACGCGCAATTGGGTTCATCTTTTGCCGGTGATCCAGGCTAATCTTAATCACTCGGCGGTGGCATCATTGGGCGGACATGCTCCCGTTGAGCTGTTCACGGGCCTGCCAGCACCTTCTCTGCTGGATACTGTTGCAACTCCTTCGAATGGGTCCTACAGGATGCTACCAGTCGATTTAACTAAGGTTGCTCCTCAACTTGCCCAGCTGAGAGAGCACCTCCACGAGCTTCATGGTGACGTCGTTGACCGTAAGGAGCGTCGTCAATTGCGCGATATCGCGCGAGGGAAAGGCCAAGAGTGCAACTTCAACGAGGGCGATTTCGTGTTGTGGTCCAGGGTGGACACTCGCATGCGGGGTGGTAAACTGTTAGTTCGTTGGGTGGGCCCGTTCCGCGTTGTCCGTGCCCTCTCGCATTCATTCATGATCGCCCACCTGCTCACGGGTGATGAGTACGAGGTACATGGCTCACGCCTCAAGCATTACTGCGACCCGGAACTAGGCAGTACCGCTGAAATTCGCGAGCACGTTGCCGTGCAGGGCATTGTGCTAGGCGTGCGGGACATCATTGGCCACCGTTATGACACGACTGCGAAGGAATGGCAGCTTCACGTTGCCTGGCGCGGCCTTGAGGACTCAGAGAATTCGTGGGAGCCATTTTTGGCAATGTATGCAGACGTTCCAGTCCTGGTGACAACGTATGTTGAATCGGTGAACACTACTGAGCTGACAGCGATGCTCTAACCATCAATTTCAACCTGGCCCTGTCACATGTCACATTTTTAACAAGTCATGGCGATATGGCTACTTTACGTCTTCCAGATTTTCCAGTTTTCTGACATTTTTTCAAGATTTCCAGTTTTTTCATTTACCGTGGTCTTCTTGGGGGCAGTGTAGTGCATGCAGCACCTGTACCAGATGACACAGCGGCAAAAGCAAGTCACAAGTCACAAGTCACCGCGTCACACCTGTCACCCCGTCCCAACAGCGACATCCATCCCAGCCGCCCCTGCAGCGCAAATCCCAGTCTCCAATCGACAGCGGCGGGAAGGAACGTGAGCCTCGAGTTGGTCTGTTGCTAGCGCGCGTGCTCTCGGCCCACACGGCCAAGCAGCAGCCGAGCAACAAGACAGCAGAGGCCGAGAGGCACGCGCCGACAAGACAACAATGGACAGAGGCACGTGCTGGAAGGGAAGAGGCAGCGACTCAAGGGCATCGAGTTTGGCGAGAGGTGTTGTAGTGATAGCGATGCAAATGGACTGACCGACTAACTCTGAATGACACTTCACAATTTACATTTTTGAGCTCACTTGCCATACTAAACCATCTACTCTTTAATCGCGTCGATCTCCGTCGCAGCCACGATCACGATCTGTGCGGGTAGCTCAGCAATACACGCGAGGTGCAGACGCGCAGTAGAAGCAGCGACATCACCTGCATCGAACCCGTTCCGTTCACTTAGACCATCGTGTGCAACCCCACGGCCAGGTCCAGGTCGCGACACCGCCACGAGATATCCGGCTGGCGCACCACATCCAACCGCTCCACCGCGTTCCATACGCCACCACGAATACACCCGAACAACCCCACCGTGCTGCAGATCCGTATACCGGACCACTAGCGCCATATCTCACTCGCCACACTACTGCCCAGCACACCTGCACGTTGGCCCTCACGCATGTCGAACATCGGCCCGCTCAATGGCGCGTCCGTGAGTTTCCGCGTCCACGGACCAGAATGCCGACCACACGGCAGCGCTGTCAAACAATGCGCCGTCCACGTCCAGCTCGACCATCGCCAGCAGTGCCTTCCTCACCTTCCCGGCTCTCCACATCATCCACCCGCTGCCGCCGCCCCGCTGTTACCGTTGCTGCATGTGTCCGCCACCCGCACGCCGCCCTTTCGCGGACGTCGCCACCCTTGCTCACCACCTCATTCACTCTGCTCCCTCACGCCTCTTCCACTCTAGCTCGCCGCCGTCGCCACCATTGCCGCCACTCCACTCGCTCGCCGTCCGAACGATCTCTCCATCTTTCTCCCTAACTTAAAGGAAAAGTGCAATTTTAAAAAATTAATGCACAAATTTTAACAAGTACATGTAGTATTTTTGTTTAAACCACGTTTTATGTTACGGTCGGAGGTTGTCGGAGGTCGGAGATTTTATGTTATGTCAGAAGACGGATGTATAAAAAGATAGAATGTATGAACATTATAAAAATTATTAAACAAATAAATATGGAAGTGAACGATAGAGTTGAAAAGAAGTAAAGTTGGGATAGGTAATAAAGAAAAAAATATTAATTTAGTAAATTAATAATGGAAATGGTTAAAAATGGTTTGAAAATGTATATGAGAAAATTTACATGAAAAAACATGTAGGGTAAAAGATCTATTGAAGGACAAGAGTTAGGTCTACTAGACCTTAAACCGAGTTGGTCGGTGCACAAACAGAATCTAAGTATTATAGAGAAAGGCGCACGACAATTGTCAAAGACTGACCTCTTTTCCAGATGCATAGCTATTCATCAATGAAGCAGCAAACCATCAGAGAGCTAGCCAAGGCGACGCAAGTTTGCCCGAATCGTCGGATTGATCTACATAGTAGAAAGATAATATATCGGAGAAAAAACTTCAGATTTGGAAAGCGCTGAGTACATTTGTAGCTTCTCAGTACGTCATGATCTATTTATAAAGCTGAACTCTTCTGCCACTCATTTGGCGCCAGTGCGCTGTCATTTTGGCGCCATCGCCTACATCCACTCCATTTACAGCGCTTTCAAGCTCGCTTAAGCTCCATACAGATCCAGATTGTGAGCCATTCATCTAACGCACGCAGCTTTTCTGTACATGTGCTTCTTGGAAGCTCATTTATCAATCTACCATCTCACAAGATGCCCAGAGCTCGAGCTCAAAGCGTACCCGCGAGCTGAAGGAAGAAGTAGTCGAGCATGGCGTTGCTCGGCTGACTCAACTCGACGAAGCCCGCCAGCCTAAACGTGCAAGGTGTGCACGTGATGCAGCCAACGACGACAACGACCCCGGAGACTCAATGTCGCCCGTGCTCGATCGGTTCGTGCTGACAGGAGAGAGACCATCATGCAAACGACAAACTTCTCAGAAGAAGAGGTCAACAGGCTCTGGCGGGTGGTGGGGGAGTTCGCTATGCTTCATTGAAATGTCGGTCGCGGCAAGAAGTGCAAGCACGGCGGAAAGACACCCTGTTCATGATGTTAACTGCACTAAAACACTGTGGCAAGTCGGATGTTTTCGCCAGCGTATTTCAAAATATTCCGCCCACACTCCCAAAACTGATAGTGAAGTTTACCGAGATGATCTCGCCGTTCTTGTACGAGCACTTCGTCGGCGACGTCAATGCAAAGTGCTGCATGCGCTAGCTAGTCACTGGGAACACGTTTTCAAATGTTCCTTGCGCGCGGTACGCGACGGACGTGACCTTCCAGCAGGCCAATATCCCTTACGGCCTCTGTGAAGGTCGCAGCATCTATTACAGCAGAAAACACAAGCTGCATGGCTACAAAGTAGACGTTTCCGTGTTGCCGACGGGCAAAGCAATCAACTGCACCAAGCATTACTCGGGGCATGTGTCGGATATCAAGCTATTCCGCAAAAATCAGTGCTTCCACTCCCAGAATATACAGAAGTCCGAAGTGGAGAAGCGTCTACACGACGCGGGTCCTCTCGTGGCCAAGTTGGGCGTTACCCACCGACAAGGGATACCAGGGACTGTTATTGCATTTCCGTGCGATAACCCCGCACAAAAAACAGCCAGGTGAGACGCTTTCGATCGAGGAGAGCGACAAAATCGCACACGATCCGTTCTTGTGGAAATTTGTTTTGGTCGTCTAACCACACTCTGGTCTGTGTGCCCTAACAAGTATCGCGGGCCTGAATCCAGATGCGACACCTTGTTTAAGACGTGCGTCGCTCTCACAAACATCCATGTGCACTTAAATCTGCTTAGGGTTGGGGATTTCGACTCTTACCGCGACTATCTTGGCCGCTTACTATCGATTGGTGAAGAGATGGCCTCTAAGCGCAAGACTTCTCAAAAGCGCTACCGTAGTCGTCGAGACCAGCGCCTCCGGAGCATGTTCCGTGTTCGCCACGAGCTGGAAGAGCCACTATCAATGTGCCATGCAGCTCCAGCGACAGTGATGAGACACTGCTTGGTCACTGAGAGCCATCAAAGCTGCACCTGTAGGAAACGAGGGTCAGTATTACAAATGCATTAGCTGTATACGGGTTCTGGCTCTGGCTTAAGTTGTATGATGCTCAATTGCCAAAAGCGGACTAACATCGGAAATTCCTCATTCTGTTTGAATTGAATTTGCCCTCGCAATTCTTCTTTATATATTACGATAGTACAGCACACATTTAACTGTGGCTGTTATAACGATAAGAGCTTATCAACTGGGATTGAAATCTAGTGATGGGTAAAAATGTATAGGAGGGCATTTCCTGCCACCTTCGCCCCGCTTCTAACCTTCTAGTCGGTCCGTCTGTCTGTAAATCGATCCGTCGTTTTCCTTTCTTGAGGCCTCTTCCTACCTTTTCATATGGCTACACCTGGCATATTTAATACAGAATTCTCCCATCCTACCGACCGCGCCTATCTTTCTGACTCGACCTAACTATGCCAAAATTACCAAAATAGCAAAAACGCCGTACAATTAACTCACGCCTGATTGGGCGATATTTTCCTGACTTATTTTCATTCAAAACACAAAATTGGTTTCCTAGCGACGGCGAGGCGAGGACAAAGTGCGCTGGTTGTATAATAGCAGCAGGGTAGTTTTAGATGTTTTTACGGGCGTGGGGCTCCCTGCCCTACTATATATTCAAGAGAGACCTCTCAGGATACAGTCTGAGGCTTGCCCCGAGACTCCACAGTTGTATGGGGGTTGGTAGCGATAGCAATCAGGCTGGGGTAAGTGGGACGGGGGGTCTTCAACCATGCATGCGCATATGGTCCTAGACCCACCGCGAGTGCCCACGCTCCAAAAGCAGGTGACGCGTGCTCAAACCGAAGCTGCAGCCACATGCGGAAGAGTCTTTACGGTCCCGCAATTGAGAGGTGCTCTTAACGTGTGAGCACCCACATCAAAACACATTTTGCGAGAGCTCTTCTGGCGGGGCGGAAAGGAATGCATCAGTCCGTCTCACAAGAGCACGGAACCCAAGACCAAGAACAAGGACAGCAAGAGATCAAGACAAAAAAACACTTTAAGAGCATGAGTGAGCCCCGCACCTGTATACTTACATAACATAGCATCAGAATAGACAGTTTTAGAGAATTTTCGGAGCTGTGTGAGTCCCGTAAGGAACTGGGTTGTTTTTGGACACCCTGTGCATACTGCTGACATGACCTGAAGGGCGGTATCAAAGAGACCTGGGCAGCCACTCAACAGGACTGAGGCAACAGCGAATCCGGTTACGCATAACACCCCAACTGCTTCAGAGGTGGCGGCCGTTGTGATCGACACAAACTCAGCGGAGCATCGGGATATTATCCTACAAACGACAGAAGGTTTCAAGCGCATCTCTGAGACGAGCGTTACCTACGACCCGCGCAGTACCCTATACTCTTTCCGTTTGAGGAGAATGGCTGGACTTACGATATCCCGTACGTTAATAATCCCGTCGATCGCCACAGTGACCCGCAAACAATGTCCATTCGGGAATATGAGGCGTATCTGCTTTACGACCGGACGGTTAGTAATTCTCTGATCCTGTGCGGTGGGCGACTAAAGCGGCACACTGCGTTGACCAATGTGCCAATGCGAACTAAACGCCTGCGCTTCATAAAAAAGAACCAACTCCTGTATCAATAGGAAACCCTCCAGGGACTTATGGACGCGTTGCGTGGCGAGTCCGTTGAAATCCACAGAATAGCGGCTGACGACGAGGCAGCCATACGTAGGACTCGGCGTGGGAATATACGGAGCAGGAGTCGGCGGACCCAGATGCGGGTGAGCTTGGATGCAAGATCATCATATCCTCGAAGTTTACAGGTGGTCCTCGCTACATGTACCACCGCTTCTTGGATACCATGGCTATCGTCCGTCAAACAGGCGCCCCGACCCTGTTCATTACGATGACATGCAACCCGAACTGGTCTGAGATCAAGGAAAACTTACGCCATGGGGAGAAGGCATCCGACCGACCGGACAATGTGGATCGCGTGTTCATGGAAAAACTAAAAGCTCTTAACAAGGATCTCGATGAGGGCATGCTGGGGTTTCAAGCCGCTCGAGTCCATGTAGTGGAATATTAGAAGCGTGGTCTTCCATAAGCCCACATACTGCTTATCCTACGTCCGAAGGACGAATCCACTACTATGGGGACGTCGATAAGCTGGCGTCCGCGGAGCTCCCGGATAAAGAGAAGTACCCCGAGCTGTATGATACGGTGACTTCTAATATGCTGCATGGACCCTGTGGTCAACAGAGCTCAAAATGCCCGTGTACGAAGAACGGAAGGTGTTCCAAGAAGTTTCCAAAGGCGCTCGCGAGCGAATCGGTGATGACCCCCGACAAACACCCCGCATACAAGCGTGGTCGCCGTCGGGATGAAATTTTGTGCCATAAGGGGAACGTATGGGACAAT